AAAATATATTAATTTGAGAAAGAGGTTGGTTCTTTGGTTCAGGTTTATAGAAATATATATACATACACACTACAAAAGTCAAAGTTTGGACACACCATCTCATTTTAATAGTTTTTCTTTATTTTCCCTACTTTCTACATTGTAGATGCATGCTGAAATCAAATATATGAAGCAAGATATATAGAATTATGCAGCAAAGAAAAAAAATCTATAAATAACTCCAAATATGTCTTATATTTTAGTTTTCTGAAAGTCTTTGTTAACAGCGCTTCAAACCCTTGGCCTTTTCTCAATGAGCTTCATGATGTAATGACCTGAAATGCTTTTCACTTCACAGGTGTGTCTTGTCAGGGTTCATTTGTGGAATTTCTTGCCTTCTTAATGGGGTTTGGACCATCAGTTGTCTTGTGCAGAAGTCAGGTTGGTACACAGCTGACAGCTCTATTTGAAAAGTCGGAATTCATATTATGACAAGAACCAATCAGCTAAGTGAAGAGAAATGACAGTCCATCATTATTTTGAGAACTGGAGGTCAGTCAGTCAGTCATTTGAATATGTCTCCAAGTACAGTGTGACACAGAAAAGGTGAACGGATGGTCTCTACATGCATGGTTCCCACTGTGAAGCATGCAGGAGTGATGTTGTAGGGGTGGTATGGTGGTGACACTGTTGGAGATTAATTCAAAATTAAAGGCAAAAAGAACCAGCGTGGCTCCCACAGCATCCTGCAGCAACATGCAGTCCCATCCAGTTTGCGTTTCGTTAGACCATCATTTATTTTTTAACAGGACAATGACCCCAAATACACCTCCTGGCTGTGTAAGGGCTATTTCACCAAGAAGGAGAGTGATGGAGTGCTGCGCAAGATGGCCTGGCCTCCTCAGTCACCTGACCTAAACTCAATCGAGAAGGTTTGGGATGAGATGGAGCGCAGAAGGAAGGCAAAAGGGCCAACAAGTGCTCAGCATCTCTGGGAACTCCTTCAAGGCTGTTGGAAAACCATTTCAGGTGACGACCTCATGAAGCTCATCGAGAGAATGCCAAGAGTGTGCAAAGCAGTAATCAGATCAAAGGGTGGCTATTTTGAAGAATCTACAATATAAAACTTTGTGAAATGGATATAAATTTACGCTACCAGAGAATGGACTGGGGGAGTGGGAGAACATCAAGAGCTGTTATTTTTTAATGTGTTCCAGTTTACGAAAAACAGCATATCACTTTTTGTGGCACATAAAAAGACAAACTAAGAATAAAAAGTTAGTAATTTTGTGCGGTTAGTGGTTTGTGCAACTCAGAAATATAACAACAATCCTTGGAAACTAGAATGACGCTGACAGTTGTATTTTCACATGGTTTCCATACAGTATGCAATAACACTAAAGGACTAATGTTTGCACAAGATTGTAATTTACAATCAAAAAGTAATAAATGCTAAAATAACAGTCAGGAAAGAGCTTCGGGAAAGGAAAAGGTGTAGCAGACAGATTCTTTCTTGTTACTGCATTTATTTCTCATTGTTCCACTTGGTTATGTCTCTCTTGGGGCGATCGTGGCTCAAGAGTTGGGAGTTTGCCTTGTAATCGGAAGGTTGCCGGTTCGAGCCCCGGCTTGGACAGTCTCGGTCGCTGTGTCCTTGGGCAAGACACTTCACCCGTTGCCTACTGGTAGTGGTCAGAGGGCCTGGTGGCGTCGGTGTCTGGCAGCCTCTCCCCTGTCAGTGCGCCCCAGGGTAGCTGTGGCTACAATGTAGATGCCATCACCAGTGTGTGTGGATGACTGAATGTGTAAAGCGCTTTGGGGACCTTAGGGACTAGTAAAGTGCTATACAAATACAGGCCATTTATCTCTTCCTTGCAATGTATCTCCACACAGTCCTGAAAGGGTATGTTATCTGGCTCTGCAGGTACCCAGTTTGGAACCTCATTAGGTGCAATCTGATGATGATGTATCTGATATCCTCATGCTGGTGTTGTTCCTGCATCACCATAATTAATGTTGGTCCAAGTTTAACACTGCAAGTTACTAATCATATTTTTGTGACGTCATAGTTTTGCAACATGGAAAAAACCCTGCTATTGTCCGCTCAGGAAAACATCCAACAAAGGTTCAATGTTAGGGTTGAGGGTTAGGATGTAAACATCATTAGGGTTAGGGTCATGTGGCTATCCCTAGGGTTATGAATATGAGGTTAGGGTTTGGTGTATGGTGTGATGATGTTTCCACCAAATGGCAAAACAGTATTATCTCCCCACCAGGGACTTCGCCAATGATCATCATTGTAATATCATTTCTTCCACAGCTTCCTTCCAGGAAGGGTGTCACTCAACCACCAATAGCACTCTGAAGACACATAAACACACAGACACAAAGTACCATGATATTTATATTGTATTTATTCACATTTATTTTTGAAAGGACTGTACAGAAATATTGTATATAACATATACTGATAAAGAGATGCTATAGGAAATTACATAATTTACAACATATTAAACAGAGCCTTTACAGCTGCAACATATCAGACAAAATCACCCCAAAATAAACCTCTTATTTTTTATCTTGCAGTCATAAAGCATGGTATATCAGTCTGACACTACTACTGCCATCATAATAATAATAAGAAGAAGAAGGATTTACTGGAAAGCAAAGAAACAATAAGTCAAACCATTAAATGGTTGAAGCTCAGACAGGTTGTTTTCAGTGTTTCTCAATTTTCACTTGAGCAGTTATGGTATCTGTTATCAGGACAAGCAGAGTGGAAAATTCCACAGTTGAGGGCAAAAACAAGTGATGTACCATCTGTAATGTATTGTACTAAAAGTACCAATGTGCTGCTGCATGTACCACTCTTTTGATGGGCATTTTGAATGTGATATAAGTATGTGGTAGTAGTGCTACTGCTCTGGTCATTGGTAATAATAAACTGTAATGATTTTATAGAAGTGGAATCAATGTAGCAGCCTTGATTTTTGTTAGTATTTACTGCTATATCTAACTATATCTAAAATTTTAATTTACTACCTGCACAAGCAAGAGCCCAGTGTTGTCACACGTGATGGCAGCTAGGAAAATAGCAAGAAAAAATTCAGGACTGCAAAGCTCATAACCATAGTTTAGGGTGGGGACATAGATCGACTAGTAAACTGACAGCTTTGCTTTTATGGACAGCTCTCTCTTCACCATGCAGTGCAGTGTCCACATCACTGTAGCCATGATCCAAATCCATCTGTCAATCTCCCTCTTCCCTCTCCTCTAACCTGTGAACAAGACCTCTGTGATATTAAAAGTCTTCCACTATGGGCAGCAACTCAACATTAACCCAAAGTGGAAACTCAACTGTTTTCAGGCTTTTTCAGGGCCATATGACTCAGACTTGGAAGAGTTCAATCTTATTCTCGCACTTGGCCATGAACTGCTCCAGTGTGAGGTGAAGACCACCACCTCATGAAGAAAGCAGGACTACATCACCCACAAAAAGCAGAGATGAGATCCTGAGGCCACCTTGGAAGAAACCTTCAGCTACTAGGCTCCACCTAGAAATTCTGTCCATGAAAATTATGAACAGAATTGGTAACAAAAAGAGCTGCTTTTGCTGAATCCAACACCCACTGATGTTGACTACAAATAATTGGCACACAAAACAAACTTTGGCAACATTTGCACACAAATGAAATGGCTTATATCAGACTATTTATCTATCTAAAGTAAAAATCATCGAAGAGTGCATGACTTTAGGATGCTTTGAGCAATAGCCAGATCAAGTCCATATGAATTATGTAATTAAGTAATGCACTGAATTATGTCTTATTAGTCCCAGCTGTGGTTCCCTCCTGTTTCCCATTCTCTCATTACTCCCTTGTATATTTAAGCCCTGTGTTTTCCATTCCCTTTTCTTGTGTTGTACCACTTCCATGTGCTTTGTGTTTCCTTGCACCTAGTTTCTAGCGTTCTAGTTTCCTAGTGTTTATGTTCCTTGTCCATAGTTTCTAGTTTTCTGCTTTTGGATTTTGTTTCTAGTATGTGTTTGCTACAGCGCAATAAAGCTTCCTTTTTGAGTTCATCCTTTCGTGTCTGTTAGTCCTGTATTTGGGTCCTACATCCTACCTGCCACACAACATAACCTGCCAATGTGTTGTTATTTCCAGTCTAAGTTCAACTTTTAGTCGTGGGGTTTCTGATGAATACAGTCAAGAAATACAAGAAACAATATCTCTGTGGTAGGATGGAGACTAGGTAGTAATTCTTCTTTTAGTTTTGGATCACCGCCATGACTGTGGATCTGGCACCACTGTCTGGCCTGGGTTCAGTTCATTGTTTTGATAGAGTAATAATATGTTTAGAACTGAGTTGTCTCAGCCAAGCAACTACCTGGAAACATTCAGAACAGCTGTTAATGTAATAATTAAGTGGAAGATGTGACAGAGTTCCAACTCATTATTGTCCTAATCTTTCCCCAGCAGCCACACATTTTGCTAGTGTTGGCATTAAAACCCAGCAAAGATAAGGATCAGTGTCCAATTCATCTTTAATTAGCAATATGCTGAACAAGGAATTAAAAAATAAAATATGTAACAAAATGTTCTCTGGATGATTTTTTTTTAAATGAATTCTTCTTAGTTTTTCATGTATACCACAACATTTCCAACCATCTAAGACTGAAAATATAACATATCAGTTTTAAAGTGTAATGGTAACTTAACAAAACACAACGTTATACACACAAGATTCACACGATGCTATATAATATTTACAAAAACATGGATAATGCCACCTTCCCAGCATTTGCATTAAGTTGTAGAACAATATGTTCAATTTAAAACTCCCTTTTGGAGGAAATATATGTCAGCACATTTTGTTTGAAAAATTCAGCCAAATATGATCAAGCCTATAATATAATCTGCAAATGTCACATCCGCTCACTTCTTGTGACACTGGGTTTACTTATTTTATACTCCTTTTAAATTAGTATATATGATTCATATTTTCACATTGCTGTTTTGAAATATATACTGTCTGTAGTTGTCTACAAAGAACAGAAATGTCTTCTACATCAGGCTGTCACTGCTTTTTGTAGCTCTGTAGAGGAGCCTCTATGTCAGAGTTGCTGTAATAAAAGAGAGAAGCATATGAGCAACTAAATTCAACAAACTTAAAAAACAGTTTTGAAAAGAGGTGAAACCTAACCTGCTGAGTTCATACATAACTGATTTGGTCTTCAGTTTTTTCAAAGTCAACATATTCAGAAACACAGCAGAGAACACAACAACGTGAAAAGAAAGATGAAGGAAACAAAGAGGTGAATCCTTCTCTTACCTGCTCAGCTCATATGCGTCAGCTTTCTTCTTCATTTTTTTCAAGAGCCACAAAGCCATAGACACACCAGATAACAAGGCAGTGGCGCCTGTTGCCACACCAACGGTAACTGCAGCTACTGGAGCAGGAGCTGTGGAAACATTGTAAAACGTGAATAATGTGAACTTTTGAACAGAGATTTGTAAGTGTGCACATTTACATTTTGTGTACCATTTGATCTGTTGTTGCTCGTTTACCTTGACAGGTGGGTTTCTCTGCAGTCCAGTTACCATGATGACCACATGTCAGCAGCTCAGGTCCTTCTAATGAGTAGCCTTGGTCACAGCTGAAGGAGCACTGAGAGCTGTAAACTGACTCAGTGCTGGAACAACTGATGTGACCGTTTTCAGGAGCCTCAAGCAACAAACATGTAACAGCTGTTGTAAAGGAAAGGAAGATATTGCATATTAAAAAAGTGATCTCACCTGTGCTCGTAAGATTCTGAACATGCAAATGAAGTTGTGAACAACAAGTAATCCAGGTAAAATGGGTTCACATGTACCTGTGCAGGTTGGTGATCTGGAGGTCCATTGGCCTGGATGTGTACACTCCATGCTGTGTGCACCTTGCAGCTCATGTCCTTCATCACATGTAAAATGACAAACCATGCCAAGTGGATGGGGTGTGTCATGACTAAGAAATGAAGACAGAGAAGGGCTGCAGCTTATCTGACCATTTGTTGGGACCTCTGGAGCAGGACATCCTTTTGCTACAAAAGGGAAACAAAAGAGTAAAATATTACTAATATGTCATGACATAATCAATCCAAGAAAAAAACTGGAGTAACACTGTTTGTAGTAAATATTGATATAATTAGTCTTTCAGACCTTTGCATGTAGGTATGTTTTCATTCCACTGTCCGTCCTCAGAACACTTGATGGTGTTTGCTCCCTGCAGTTCAAAACCTTCTTCACAGCTGAAGCTGCAGGTGGAGTTTGGTCGCAGTTCAGTCTCAGATTCACTGCACTGCATGATGAGGGGAGCTTCTCTCTCTGGATTCTGGCAAAGGATGGCTGACACAGAAACATGTGTATTTTATTGAACGTGTCCTCGTGATATATCAGAATCAGACTACTTTAATAATCCCCAAGGAAATTACGTGGGTTACAGTTGCTCCAAGACAGTAACAGTAACAGACTAAACTATTTAAATAATACAATATGTTACAGAGTTTACAAATTTAAGAAATAGCATTAATAAATACAATCACTGAATTATAAATATGAAGAATATTACAGGGGTGGAATATATATAACTGACATTTGACTCTAACCTGTAAACTTTGTCATTTGTTATTTTATTTGCTATTTTACTTTGGTATTTTACTGAGCGTGTGCAAAAAGGGTGTAGCTATTGCAGTTTCACAGTGTATTAGATGGAAGAGTTGTACAAGGAGATGGCCACAGGCAGGAATGATTTCCTGTGTCGTTCAGTGGTAGTCTTTGGTAATCTCAGTCTCTCACTAAATGTGCTCCGGTGACTAGCCAGCACGTCATGGAGTGGGGGAAAGGTATTATTCAGCATTGTCCTTATCTTGGACAACATCCGCCTCTCAGACACCACCCTAAGGGAGTCCAGCTCCATCCTCACAACATTACTGGCCTTGCAGATCAGTTTTTTTAGTATGTTGGCATCTGCGACCCTCAACCTGCTGCCCCAGCATACAACAGCATAGAGGATGGCGCTGGCCACAACAGTCTCATAGAAAGTTCTAAACATTGTCCAACAGATGTTGAAAGACCTCCGACCCCCCAGAAAATAGAGACAACTCTGGCCCTTCCTGTGAAGTGTAGTGGTGTTTTAACCTAGTCCAGTTTATTGTCTAAGTGTACTCCAAGGTATTAATCGTTCTCCACAATGTCCACATTATATAGAAAATGGGTGGGTTATAAAGAGGGAGCAATACAAACATTATGAAATATGACTA